TAGGTCCGCTTTGAGGGGGGAAAGTATCTGAGGCCGAAATTTGCTTGCAGGGGGTTAATTGGGGAGTACTCTCAACAGCACTGCTTATAGCAGGCTTAAGCAGAGTTGACCTGTGATGCTGGCTCAAAAGAGGCCTCATCTGATTTTATGGAAAAGCTCTGGAGTAGGGATGGCCTGTCAGAGTTGTGGGGTTTTTTTTTTAATTATTTATTTATTTATTAGGACTTCCCTGTAGCTCAAACAGTAAAGAATCTGCCTGCAATGCAGGAGACCAGGGTTTGATCCCTGGGTTGGGAAGATCCTCTGGAGAAGGGAATGGCAATTCACTCCAGTATTCTTGCCTGGAGAATTCCATGGGCAGAGAAGCCTGGTGGGCTACAGTTCATGGGGTCGCAAAGAGTTGGATACGACTGAGCAACTAACACACACATACACATTTATTTATTATTGGAGTACAGTTGCTTTACAATGTTGTGTTAAGTTTCTGCAGTACAGCAAAGTGAATCAACCACACATATGCTTACATCCCCTCTTCCTTAGATTTCCTTCCTACTTAGGTCACCACAGAGCACTGAGTTTCCTGAACTCTACAGCAGGCTCTCACTAGTTCTCTATTTTATTGTACATGGTATCGGCAGCGTATATATGTCAATCCCCATCTCCCAATCCACCCTACCTTCCCCTCCCCTCCCCTCTTGGTGTCCATACATTTGTTCTCCACATCTACATCTCTGTTTCTGCCTTGTGAATGAGTTCATATGTACCATTTTCCTAGATTCCGCATGTGTGTATTAATATACGATATTTGTTTTTCTGAACTTTGTATGACAAGTCTCTAGAGCCATCCATGGGAGTTGTCCTAATTGAGATAAAGGGCCAATAATTGGATACTGGCTGCCCCTGGGGAGGGAACCTAATCTTAGATGAAGCAGCTTGACCTGTGGAGGGCAGTTCCCACAGACACGGTGAGCTGCCATCAGCCTCAGGCAAAAATGGGGAACTTGGGAGTTTGAATAGCGCATCACAGTATCCACTACACCAATGTTGCAGTGCGCTTAGGAAGCTTTTATACTGTCTGTTTCTGCAAAGAAATACAGTAAGCATGGTCAGTCTATGCCTTTCTGCCCACTCCTCTTTTATCAAAAACACAACAGAAACCAAATCTCTGAATAGCAGAACTGCAAGGTAGACAACTCGAAATCCATTCTCAGTGAATACCTTCATGGAGTTCAGACACTTCCTGCCCACCTGCCTTTCAGTTCTGTTCTTTACTGTCACCCCACAAGACTAGAAGTCAGGACAGAGCCTATCTGTAAAGGTAATGCAATTTTCTCTCTTATTTTGGAGGCCCTGAAGTGTGGTAATTACCATGCGAAGGATCTGATATTTTATCATAGACATGTTATTTATAGATAGGCTTAACGTAGGAGCATCTTTAACTCAGGAAGATGACATTTCTGTCACCCTCATCCTAACCATGGTGTAACATGTCCATTCCAGTTAAGCCTTTTGCAAAATTAGCCTACCTTTGGGATTCAGCTGTACAAATATGCAAAGTGATCAAGTAACTTACAATGTCAAAGCTGTATAAACACAATCTTTATAAGAGTTATGGTCTTTTTCAAGATCCTGGAACTGTAAATATATCATGTATGGGTGTAATTTCCCAGAACTGTAAATATATCATGTATGAGTGGTAATTAAAGAAAACTGGCAGTAAAATAGTGTATAATGGCTTGTTGGCTAGATGAACCTATTAGGTTTCAAGCCTTTTATTCAACATTAAAATGGATGTGATTGTTCTAAGTTTCTAAAGGTGGTTTGTACTCAGCCCATTTGCAGTTGGTGGTTCTCATGCTATGAAGATAAAGAGCTATTGATGAATGAGGAAACCACTAGAAGGAAAATGGGGTGTTTCATTCAAATAAATAGAAAAAACAAAGATTTTAGGTAGGAGGAATCTGGCATTAAACATTTTTTTTGTTGGCAACTCTTCATCTTCTTGGCTTTACTCTAAAGGTTATTTGGATGTATGTATTAAAATAAAAGGAAGAAGAAAAAAATAAAATAAAGTACAGCAAAGAGTTACCATGCTGATATATTTGGTTGACTTAAGCAAAGACAAAATTGGCTCTATTTTTATGGAAGCATGCATTTTTCATATTAGTTGTCAGTGTAACACATGGTCTATAGAATATTCAAATATGGAGAATAGTTGCCAAGTTTCCATGTGAACTTATGTTATACCTAGGGAAAATCAAATGTCTACAAAGCACTTTTATTTGAGTTATTCCTCTGAAAATTTAGTAGACTTGTAAAAATGTTGCTGCTGCTGCTGCTAAGTCGCTTCAGTCGTGTCCAACTCTGTGCGACCCCATAGACGGCAGCCCACCAGGCTCCCCCATCCCTGGGATTCTCCAGGCAAGAACACTGGAGTGGGTTGCCAGTTCCTTCTCCAATGCATGAAAGTGAAAAATGAAAGTGAAGACGCTCAGTTGTGTCCGACTCTTAGCGACCCCATGGACTGCAGCCTACCAGGCTCCTCCGTCCATGGGATTTTCTAAGCAAGAGTAATGGAGTGGGTTGTCGTTGCCTTCTCCGGTAAAAATGTTAGATGACACCAAAATGTAAATACTAACATTTACCATAAAATGGGACAAAAGGCACTTTGACTGATTTAGCAGGTCAAAATGGAAACCGTTAATAGGGTATCTATAATTCACACGCAGTGGCAGAGCTGGCAAAAAATGTCTTGCGTCTGTGCGTGCAGGGTCGCTTCAGTCATATCTGACTCTTTGCGACCCCACAGACTGTGGTCTGCCCGGCTTCTCTGTCAGGGAGGGGTTTCTCCAGGCAAGAATACTGGAGCATATTGGCTAATACTGGTTGCCATACCCTTCTAGAGCACCATATTTCCCGCTGCCCTATCCGCCAACCCCCGAGTACCTGGTGCTGCCAGAACCCCTGTGACCCAAGCACCTGCACCACCTCCACCCCTGGCCCTCACAGGGGCAAACCCAAGCCCTCCAGGGCAGCCTCAGGAGCAAACCCCAGTGGACGACCCACATGTAGAGGTGGAAACAAAGCCACAATTGAAACCCAAGGACAGTGTGACTAAGGAAGAAGACCCAAAACCTTCCCACTAGCTGTAAAGGTGCAGATTAAATCCACACAGTCAACTAGGCAGACTCTGTGTCTATGGAATATATAAAATGCCATTGAGAGCTCCCACAAAACAACTAGTTCTGATAGTTGGGGACATTGGAGGCAAGAACACACAGGAGTAGCACCAGACTAGAATCTGAGCTGCCCTCACAGCAGGTCCAGAGATCACCACAGTGTTGGAGGACATCCTAGGGAGAGATCAAGCCCTGAGCCTTTGGAGTGGGAGCATTGACTCCAAGACCCTAGACGACCAGAGAACTAACCCCAGAGGGCATCAAATAGTGAGAACTCACTCAAAGGAAACCACCTGAATACAAGACCTGGCACCACCCAACCACCAGTAGCACCCTGTGCAGGATGCCTCATCTAAACAACAAACAAAACAAAAATACAAACCAAATCATCAGCAGACAGGATTAGCACCTCACACAGCCTTACCCATTAGAGGAAAATCAAACAAACAAAAACTCAACACAAATCTCACCCTATATGAAGCTTACACAAACCACTGGACCAACCTTGGGAGGGCAGAAACCAAAAGGAAGAAAGAATTCAACCTTCTTCAAGGAAATAATTCAACTTTCCTTGAAGCCTGGGAAAAGGAGACCTCAAACACAATAAGTTTAAAAAAAATAATGAAAAGGCAGAGAAATACTACACACACAGCTTTTCCATTTTACCACTGGCGAGCTGAGAACGAGCGCATGACTTATTGGCATCAGAGTACAACATGTGTCTTGATGGCAGAATTTTCAAATCAATAGGTGAGAGTAGTTCACGGTATTTTCTGCCAGATTGGACTCACTGTAAAATAACTTGCTCTGCTGTTTTAGGCCTATAAGGAAAAGGTGTGCAAGATCTAGCCAAGCTCATATAGAATTCTCTGCTATCTCCCTCTCTTTTTTAAAAAAAAATTTTTTTTTGGCTGAACTGCATGGCAAGATCTTTGTTCCCCAACCAGGGATCAAACTGGTGCTGCCTGCAGTGGAAGTGCAGAATCCAAACCACTGGGCCACCAGGGAAATCCCGCTTTCTCTGTACATGCTCACACACTCATATACATATGTAACATGTGAATATATATACGTACATCTGTAATACATGTATTTGTGATACATATTTTATGTACATATAATCTGTAACTTGAGGTCCCTCATTTATTCCTACATTATTATTGCCTCCTTGCCCCCCCCTCAAATCCTAGTCCCCGTCCCCTCTTTTAATAACCTTGTTGTTGTTCTTTAGTCGCTAAGTCATCTCCAACTCTTTTGTGACCCCATGGACTGTAGCCCACCAGGCTCCTCTGCCCATGGGATTTCCCAGGCAAGAGTACGGGATTGGGGGACTTTCCTGGTGGTACAGTGGATAAGAATCGGCCTGCCAGTGCAGGGGACACGGGTTTGATCCCCGGTCCAGGAAAATTCTGCATGCCTCGGAGCAACCAAGTCCAAGAGCTGCAGCTGTTGAAGTGCATGTGCCTAGATCCTATGCTCTGCAACAGGAGAAGCCTGCGCATGTCAACTAGAGTAGTCCCCCCACTCACCGTAATAGAGAAAGCCTGCACAGCAACAAAGACTCAGTGCAATAAAAAATAAAATAAAATAAATTTTTTAAAAAAGAATACTGGACAGGGTTGCCATTTCCTTCTCCAGGGGACCTTCCCCACCCAGGGATTGAACCTGCATCTCCTGCAGCCGCAGGTGGATTCTTTACCACTGAGCCACCAGGGAAACCCCCTTAATAATCTCTGGAAGAGCAAACAGACAGTAACAGTCTGTCACTGCAAATCTTCAAGGGAGCTCTTTCAGTCACTGAATGAAGTCCGGGCAACTTCACATTACTCATTGCTGTGTGTATTTATTTGCCATCTGGACTCAGCGTGACAGTTGCTTTAGCTCAGCTGATGGGGAACAGAAAAGAGGGTGGACTCGAGCCTGAGTTTCCTGGCTCCAATCCTCGGACACAGAATGGATTACAGACATCCTTCAACCTCCAGCATATCTCCCAGGACCAAGGTCTTCATTCAGCAAAGATTTACTCTCCACCTAGTAGACACCAGGCCCTGGAGTTACAAGAGAGAGAGAGAAAAAAAAAAAAATAGACCTGAAGCAGTTCAGTGCAAAATACTAGACCATGGGGATAATTGAGGTAGGGATCCATTTTTTAATGGACAACTGCCTTTCACAAGACCATTTATTAAATAGTTAATTATTCCACACTGCTGTATATTGCTACTTTCATACACCAAGATCCTGTATGCTCTTGGGTATGTTTCTGGGTTCTCTATGATTAAGCATTCTGTTGATCTATTTGTGTATTCCTTCAGTTTTAATTTTTTAATTTAGAGCAAATTCTAAAAAATAAAAATAAAATTTTAAACTTACAGCAAAGTCAAAAGAACCGTATAGTGAACAGGGGCATAGCTAATTCACTAATGGAGATTCTGCATTCACTAATGCTTTGCTATACTTTATTATGTATCCATCCAGCTGTCCATTACTCCATCCAACTATCCATTGATCCATCTTCTGCACTCACTAATGCTTTGCTATACTTTATCACATATCCATCCAGCTGTCCATTACTCCATCCAACTATCCATTGATCTATCTTCTCTTTGGTGTACTTCCAAATAAACTGCAGGCATCAGTACACTATTCCCTAAATACAACACTACACTTTTTAAATTATTATAATCTTATATAGTAAGGTTATAGTTTTACAGTTATCACAATTTAAATGTTCAATTATATGTCTAAGAAATTTTGATATTTAAAGTAATTTCCTATTAAGACTGAAAAATCAAATAGTTGGAACCTTGAAGTCTTGCTAGATCAAGGTAAATAGAGCTTATGCTCCTCCCAAACCCAGGCTCTTGATTCTAGATCAACTGGACAGAGAGGAGTTCAGATAATTTTACCCTGACTATCTGAGTCCCTGGGATCTTTACAACTGAGATATTTGTAGTTTCAAATATTTAGTTTCATGTTGCCAAAGGAGGAGGCGTGAACTTATCTCTGAGGGCAGACTATTCTCTTGTTCCTCTGTTATTAGAAAAACATGTGAATGGGCTTTTTGGTAAAGAAAGATCCTATTTTGTAATCCAAGAAAATGAGGAACTACACTGTTCTGAGTAGTATTTTCAATATCTGGGCATTACATCCCTGCAAATCTGAGACCTTCCATTCTTTTCTTTTTTTAAAAAAAATTTTTTGACTGGGCCATGTGGAATGTTAGTTCCCCTACCAGGGACAGAACCCATGCACCCTGCATTGGAAGCATGGAGTCTTAACCACTCAACCACCAGGGAAGTCCCCTTCCATTCTTTTCTACAAAGAAATATGATTTCTTTAAGATCATGTTCAGTTCAGTTCAGTTCAGTTGCTCAGTCCTGTCCGATTCTTTGCAACCCCATGGACTGCAGCATGCCAGGCTTCCCTGTCCCTCACCAAATCATGGAGCTTGCTCAAACTCATTTCCATCGAGTCAGTGATGCCATCCAACTATCTCATTCTCTGTCGTCCGCTTCTCCTCCTGCCTTCAATCTTTCCCAGCATCAAGGTCTTTTCCCATGAGGGTAGGTCTTCGCATCAGGTGGCCAAAGTATTGGAGTTTCAGCATCAGTCCTTCCAATGAATGTTCAGGACTGATTTCCTTTAGGATGGACTGGTTGGATCTCCTTGCGGTCCAAGGGACTCTCAAGAGTCTTCTCCAACACCACAGTTCAAAAGCTTCAATTCTTTGGCGCTCAGCTATCTTTATAGTCCAGCTCTCATATCCATACACGACTACCAGAAAAACCATAGCTTTGACTAGATGGACCTTTGTCGGCAAAGTAATGTCTCTACTTTTTAATATGCTGTCTAAGTTGGTCATAGCTTTTCTTCCAAGGAGCAAGTGTCTTTTCATTTCATGGCTTCAGTCACCATCTGCAGTGATTTTGGAGCCCAAAAAATAAAGTCTGCCACTGTTTCCATTGTTTCCTCATCTATTTTCCATGGAGAGATGGGACTGGATGCCATGATCTATTTTTTGGAATGTTGTGTTTTAAGCCAGCTTTTTCACTCTTCTCTTTCACTTTCATCAAGAGGCTCTTTAGTTTCTCTTCACTTTCTGCCATAAGGGTGGTGTCATCTGTGTATCTGAAGCTATTGATATTTCTCCCAGCAATCTGATTCCAGCTTCTGCTTCATCCAGCCTGGCATTTCATATGATGTACTCCGCATATAAGTTAAATAAGTAGGGTGACAATTTACAGCATTGACGTACTCCTTTCTCGATTTGGAAGCAGTCCATTGTTCCATGTCAGGTTCTAACTGTTGCTTCTTGACCTGCACACGATTTCTCAGGAGGCAGGTAAGGTGGTCTGATATTCCCATATCTTGAAGAATTTTCCACAGTTTGTTGTGATCCACAAAGTCAAAGGCTTTAGCATAGTCATTAAGCAGAAGTAGATGTTTTTCTGAAACTTGCTTGCTTTTTCAATGATCCAGCAGATGTTGGCAATTTGGTCTCTGGTTCCTCTGCCTTTCCTAAATCCAGCTGGAACATCTAGAAGTTCATGGTGCACATACTGTTGAAGCCTGGCTTGGAGAATTTTGAGCATTACTTTGCTAGCATGTGAGATGAGGGCAATTGTGCAGTAGTTTGAACATTCTTTGGCATTGCCTTTCTTAGGGATTGGAATGAAACCTGACCTTTTCCAGTACTGTGGCCACTGCTGAGTTTTCTAAATTTCCTGGTATATTGAGTACAGCACTTTCACAGTGTCATCTTTTAGGATTTGAAATAGCTCAACTGGAATTTCATTGCCTCCACTAGCTTTGTTCATAGTGATGCTTCCTAAGGCCCACTTGACTTCGCATTCCAGGACGTCTGGCTCTAGGTGAGTGATCAGACCATCATGGTTATCTGGGTCATGAGGATCTTTTTTGTATAGTTCTGTTTATTCTTTCCACCTCTTCTTAATATCTTCTGCTTCTGTTAGGTCCATACCATTTCTGTCCTTTATTGTGCCCATCTTTGCATGAAATGTTCCCTTGGTATCTCTAATTTTCTTGAAGAGATCTCTAGTCTTTCCCATTCTATTGCTGTCCTCTATTTCTTTGCATTGATCACTGAGGAAGGCTTTCTTATCTTTCCTTGCTATTCTTTAGAGTTCTGCATTCAAATGGGTATATCTTTTCTTTTCTGCTTTGCCTTTAGCTTCTCTTCTTTTCTCAACTAAGAGATCTTGTAAGGCCTAAGGTCATGTAATGTTGAGCAAAAGAGCCATGTTGGTAAAATAACTAGCAAAATGACTTTATTCAAGAATAGCAGAGAATCACAATTTGGGACAAGCAAAGTAATGGAAAGTAACGGTGAACCACAGGCAAGCGGGGAGAACCCTGGAGAGGGACTTGCTCTTATTGGCGAAGGAGGAAGCTGGGGAGGGCTGGTTGGTTGGTTCTTCATTGGCTGCCGGCTGTGAGCAGCTGGGTCAGAAGGCTGGGGTCTGTAAGGTGTGGTGAGTGAGAGCGCCCCCTTCAGGGCTTCCTGACTGCATTGTAAAGGAGGTTGCCTTTATCCATTTTCAGTTTCTTACTTCAACGTGCTTTTGCTCTTTTCTGCCCTTGAAAGTGACTGACTATTCATGCAGATGTGTATGTGTGTCCATGGGTTCTTGTTTAAACTAGTAGGAAAGCACCCGGTACGTAATAATTCCTTAATAAAAGTTAATTATTATTAATAGTAAGAGTACTGGACTTCTGCTGGAGGCTCAGACTATTCCTTTTTTGGCATAAAGGAAGTGAACATTAAAGGTTGAGGCACTGGGCATAGCTGAGTCACAGATTATTACAGAATACTATTGACTTATTGTCTAGTTATTGCAGTTAATTTTTCAGAGAAATGAACGCTACCTATTGGGAAACTATTGACTAGGAATTTGTGCTTGAGACTTAGAGAAACAAAGGAGAACTTTAAGATGTAGAGAGGATGGAGAGATAGAAAGAAAAAAAAAGTATGGGAAAAGTACAGAAGAACTGAGGTTTCCCACCCTGCCATCCTCACTTCTCTCTTCAAAACATCTCCTCAGTAGAGGATTTTAAACTTAGTCACAACAAGGTTCGAATTAATAACGGTTGGAAATATTAGCCTACCCCAGACATATTTGCACTTACTGGGACTCGGTTTTAATTTAGATTCTATAGGGCTGCCTCTAACATGTAACACAAATGAGCAAAACAGCCTAGTCTGAGACCACAGGGTCCAGTGGAAGTTGTATAAAAATTCAAACTCAAGTTTTTAAAAATCACCATGCTAAACAAGATATGTTACTGGATCATATTCCATCTGTTGCCTGCTGGTTTATAACTCATCACTTAAAGAAAATCTAAATGTGGGAAGTGGGGAGAATAAACTGGGATTGACATAGACACACTGCTATATATAAAATAGATAACTAATGAGAACCTATGTATAGCACAGAACCCAGTGCTCTGTGGTGACCTATATGGGAAAAGAATCTAAAAAAAGAGTGGATCCGTGTATACGTATAGCTGATTCACTTTTTTGTACAGTGGAAGCTAACACAACATTGTGAATCAACTGTACTCCAATAAAAATTAATTAAAAAAAAATAGAAAATCTCAATATGAAATTACAATTATCATCCAGTCAGTGGGACATTGAAAATGGTATGTATGTGGGTCTTTTGTTAGGGTGTCGAGGGGAAGGGGAAGAGGAGTGGAGGGTTTAATAATGTCTCCAGGTTCATAAGTGGTTCCTGGGAGGTCCCCTGATTTTTGGTCAATGGAGAGAGCCCAGGCTTTCTCTCTCTTTTTTTTTTGGTTGTGCTGGCTCACTGGGCACAAGGGATTCTTTCTAGCTGTGGTGTGGGGCTCTGGAATGTGAGGGCTCAGAAAGTATGGCTTGGGTTTCTCTAGCTGCAGCATGAAGACTTGGTTGCCCAGGAATTGAACCTAAGTTCTCTGCATCAAAAGGCGGATTCTTAACCACCGGGCCACAAGGAAAGTCCCTAGCCCTGGTTTCAAACTCCTATTGGATGAAGTTAATTACTTT